GCCCAGGGGCTGACAGCCTCAGTAGCTACTTCACAAGTCCCTACTGGAAAACACCTAGAAAAAGGAGTACAGATCATGGTACATTCTTCACCTGCCATGTAAGAATAAGTGTCCAGGATGAGAATGTAACAAGTACCCTATCTTTCCCAAACACAGGATAAAGTTCCTCCTGAATTTCCAACTGTTGTTCACAAGTCACTAAGGTGGAAAGGACACAAAGAAAGGGCACGGAAGAAAGTTCAGGAGACCAGACCTATTTACAAATGGTATTTTGTGATCAAATATGCATTTCCATTTATTACTTTGATAAATCAACAAATACAAAATTTAAGATTTAAAAAGACAGAAAACCCACATCCCAGTACACCGTTTGCTGACATCAATAGACTCTAACCAAAAGCATCTGATTTTTCTTTCAGCTCTTTGAGAGGCTGGCTTTTTTAGGTGCAACTAGAAATATGCTCAGTAGTTTACCAAGAACCAGATGTGTCTGATCTACCACTTCATCATACCAGGGTATTATCTCCCATCAATCTGTCTTCTGGTAATGAAAACATAATTTTCAAGTGATGTTGGCCTAATTAAATATGCAAACTAAACCAACATTACATCTTCTGAGCAATATAACCAAAAGCCAGTTGTCCTTTTCAAAAGAACTTCCACAGACAGAAAACTCATATTCTTGCAAGTGAACTATACATATTTGCTATTTTTCCATTTTACAGCTTTTTGAGAAGCTACCTGCAGATCAAAAGCAAATCTGCCATGGGTATATGCCTCAGAATAATCTGTTAATATCAATCTGACCTTGCCTAGAAATAATATCCCATGTACATGATGGGAAAAACATATCACATTTATAAAATTTGAGACTATATCCTCAGTACAAACTTCCCTTCATTTTCTACTTGCATATTTTCAACTAAGTCAAAAAATCCTCCCTAAGTTCACCCCTGACAGATTTCATTAGCACATCTCCCAGTGAAGCACTGATAATTGAGATAACAGTCAAAGCTGCTACAGCAACTGCAGTTTATAAGGAATATCTTAAGTGGCTAAGATCATTTCATCTAATCTCTCTTCCTCATTACCCTGTTTATTTCCTTCATGGCAAAAAAAAAAAGTGCTATGGGTAATTAACGTGTTTGTCTGCTTATTGTCTAAAATAAATGCTTAGAAGGCCAGCTACCTAGCTGCTTCGCTCAGCACAGCAGTTTCCAGGCCTAAGCAGTACCGGGTTTGTTGTAGGCACTATTTGTTAAAGTGAATAAACATAAATACCGAGAAAGTAACGTATAATTCGTTCATTTTTAGAACTTACTGTTGACATTGGTACCCTGTTATAGACATAGTAATTTAAGAAAAAAAAATTAAGGCAACCTGGGGATCACGAAAAAGCTATCGTTCAGGCTATAGTTGGGTTGGATTAGGGTGCTGGTACTAGAGATGGTTAAAAGGTGGACAAAGGTATACCTCAAACAAAAAATATTCAAGGATATCAAAAAGGGAGACAGAACATGAGAGACTCCTAACTCTGGAAAACGAACTAGGGGTGGTGGAAGGGAGGTGGGCAGGGGGTGGGGGTGACTGGGTGACAGGCACTGAGGGGGGCACTTGATGGGATGAGCACTGGGTGTTATTCTATATGTAAGCAAATTGAACACCAATAAAAAATAAATTAAATATATATATATATATATATATTCAAGGGCAGCCTGGGTGGCTCAGCGGTTTAGCGCTGCTTTCGGTTGAGGGCTGATCCTGGAAACCCAGAATCGAGTCCCACGTTGGGCTCCCTGCATGAAGCCTGCTTCTCCCTCTGCCTGTGTCTCTGCCCCTCTCTCTGTCTCTCATGAATAAGTAAAATCTTTTTTTTTTTTTTGAATAAGTAAAATCTTAAAAAAAAAAAATCACGCATGTCTGGGTTTAAATACAGAAAATCTGGATTTATGTCAGTTTCTGCAATTGAGCTACATTATACCTCCCAAAACTATTTCTAATGTGGCAATTTTATATTTTTAAAATGGTTTTATTGTTCTAAACATGGCTGCCAGAAACATGTGGACCTCCTTTTCAATTCCAATAAAATCACTTGGTATTATATATAAATGAAATTCTGTGTCTGAGGTTTTCAAGAATCTCAAACCTAATTCACTAAGTTAGCACTGAGTATTTTTACAAAGAAGTCCTTTCTCCATGTATTTGAAGTGTCTAACTTCATTACACTGTCACTGTGAAATAAACAGCTCAACGACCCCAAAACAGCTCAAGAGCCTAGAAGTCCTCATTCTCTGAATATTCATTCCACTGAATTCTTTGGGGGATCGAATTCATGAATTTGAGGGGAAAAGCTTTTTACTCACTTGCTGCCACGTGAGCTTCAGCCTTTCATACTGCTCCTTGCCATCTTCCGAGCAATCAGAACAAGTGAACCTAAAAAAATTATCACCCTTAAGGTAACTGAGCTGTTCCCTCAGCTGACCTAGGAGAAAAACAAAAAGGCACATCATAGGTTTATCTACAGCAGTACTTATCAGTTTATCAACCAGATTTTCCACACTTTCCATGTTTTTCTTCTTTTTCAGCCAACCCATGATAGCAGGATAAGAACAGGGAAGACAGAAGAAAAGATTTCTATTTTTCTAACATAGTGTATGCCTGTTGAGATCATGGTTCCCTAATTTTAAGGAGAAAGATACTGGAAAAGCAAGTTTTTATTACTGTCATTGGATTTTCCAACTGTTAACATTCCTGACTCCTATGGATGTCTTTATACATTCTTTCAAGCAGTATTTGAGTTCCCACTGCATGGCAGGCACTGGTGCAGGAACTGGAATACAAAAGCCTGCTCTTGGCATTTTATAAATTCTAAGGGCCACAGATGAGAAAATAGATCATCAGAATAGCACAATGGTTCTCCATCCTCACTGTGCATCAGAATCACCCAGGGAGTGTTTTTTTTGTTTTGTTTTTAAATGCCTGGGCCTATCCCACACAGAATGAATCAATCTCTGAAAGCGGAGTCTGAGTCTCTGCATTTTTTTGTTCCCCAGGTGATGCTGATGCTCTGGGAGACAGGACAACCTCGGGAACAGAATGTGGTGTGGGCTTAGGGAAACGAGAGGGCACACAGAAGGGAGACCCAAACCATGCTGGGAAGATGGGAGAGCTAGAAAAAGTGGGGTCTACGGGAAACCTGAAGGATGACTAGAATTGGCCAGGTGAAGAGGGGTGCCTGTGTGTATGGCAGGGAGGCCACAGGGGGCTGGAGAGACACATATTCCAGAGAAGAAATTGAGAGATGCTAAGATCTTAGGATAAGAAAAGAGTTGTTTGTGGAGAATTAAAAGCTTACTCTAATACAAAGTTCTGGTTGTGTGGGGATAGGACACCACAGAGAGAAGCTGAAGAAGTTAGCAGGGAGACAACTGTGAAGGACAGTTTAAAATACATCCTTAGAGGACAAGGGGAATGTCACTGAGATCTTCAGGCAGGTGCATGAATCAATAATCAGAAACTGCTCAGAAACAAACACTAGCTAATGCATAGCAAGTTCTAGAAGGTTTCCTATGACAATGTTAATTTATTATTAGTAACTTAATCTGAATAGTTAAATTTATGTTAGACACATTTCCACGTACCAGAAGATGACCCCCTTCACATCAACATGTGCATACATATGTGTATATGTATATGTGTGTATGTATATGTATCCGTACATATACATACACAGAAATTTCTCTGACCAGTTACAAACTCTATTACACAAAGAATTCTTCTGGTACATATGTCTTTACTAGTCTCTGCCTAATGGGAAAATCCTGTTTTGGTAAGACTCATGATGGCTGGCAAAGCATGCTCCTTGAGAGCCAAGAAGCTGGCAGATGCAAAGATTAAGCTGAAAGAGTGTGGTATCAGGGGAATGTGTGTGTATGTATCTCTTGCCAGCAGATCGAGGAGGCCGGCAAGTGGAAAACAAGAATGGTCCCAGAAAAAGAGCACAAAATACTTTAAATCTGCTAACTCTGACTCCAGCATATAACAATAGTTTTCCATGGGAGTTAAATATTACCAGAGTAACTTGAACTTTAATTCTATACTGGGCCTATTATTTGGTCCCAAATCCATAACATGATCTTGTTAGAACAATGTGGCTAATTCTTTAAATAACGCAGAATTTCCAAATTTCTGATTTTTATTGGATTGCCATCAAAAATGTTAATTTAACATGAGAGGTTGATAGTAATTTTTATTAATACAAATGTTATCTATGTTTTATATAAATCTGTCATTAGCCAACTAAACTGATGATAAATATAATAATTATCTTTTTATTTAGGTCCATTTTACATTCATGTTTTGTTCACAGGTTAAAAAAACAAACCTTCACGTAGTAATTGACAAATCAAAGGAATTAAGAAGCTCCTTACTGGCCGGTATCCATTTTTGGCACTTGTCACAGAAGTAGGACAGCTGCTCCTCCATCCACGACACATCTCCTTCATCACTGTTGAGGGAATCCCCACTCTGATCATGAGACAAGTCCACTGAAGCCTGGTCCTCCGATTCCACGATCAGGAGAGTCTCCCCCTCCACCTCCCCCTCCTCCAGCCCTTCTGAGGTAGATGTTCTGGTGGCTTCATCATCATGCCGGCTTATCAAACTACTCAGGTGGATGTTACTATCCATCCCTTCCTCTCACAGGTTCCAAGGTGCTTTTCGCTAATAATCCTAAACTCTAGACACCAAGCTTACAAAGGGGCTTCTATCAGGATCACACAAACCGACAGAAATTCTTCAGAAGAGTGTCTGCCTGATTTACTGAGAAGGGACTTTTAAAGCAATAATTTAGAATATATGATCCACTGTCCTTTTCTTTGGCCAAGCTTGAAAGGACTGTGACCAAAGCAAACTTGGAAGACCTCACTAAGCTATTCTCCATCCACAGTGGCACAACCACACTCAACACTGTCCCATTAATATGTGACATTCATTTCAAGTCATGTTTTTTGAGATCCTTTTGCCAATAACATCTTCTCTTTCTGCTTCAAGTTGCTCAGTCAAAATAATCTGTTCTCCCAAAAGACGAATGTTTTCTTTTTTCCGATTTTGTCTCTCAATGTCTCTGATCACTCCATCGTGAAGCCTCTAAAAACGTAAGAAACAGATTTTAGTTAACACCCTAAACAGGTGGTTCCCATCCTTGTGCCATTCAATAGGAATAACAGTGCTACCAAAAACCACTAAAACTTTCAGACTCCAAATGCCCAATTACTATTTCAACTTTCTGTATAAATATAAAATGTAATAAACCATCAGATTAATTTGGTAGTGTGTTCCACCAGTAGAAATGATTTCCTACGTTTTAAGAAATTCCTGAACTGGACATTCAGTATAGAACTTAATGGGAAATAACATTAATTCAAAAAGAAAGAAAAAAACTGCTCCTGTGTTGAACTTTAAAAGTTTAATTGGTATTCTAGGTTTTAAAAGACTTGGTGAGATTTACTATAGTAACTCTATGAACTACTTTCCTGTCATCAATTATTGTAGCTGAATAATAAAACATCAAAGAAAGAAAAAGAAAAGATTACAGAAACTTAAATAGTCAGGATACAAGAAAGGAAAGATCTTGGCTTCTTCTAGTGTGTAAAGAGAAGTAGTAAAAAATTATACAGAATTACTAACCAATTATATAACCGAGAGAGATGGAAAAAAATACAATGCTACTGGCAGAGGAAAAAATAAAGACCCATCAGTGATACTTTGATAAGCACTAAAGACTGGTAAAAAAAATTCCAGAACATGGACCTAGCGCCTAAGGTGAGACTTTTCAAAGCAAAAATCCAGTCATTACTAATAACTACCATTTTATAGTCTTTTAGGTCACAAACTGATGTCTTTAACAGTGGCCTTGTGAGGTAGAATTAATGAGAGTGGAGTCCAGGGCCTGGGTTTTCGTTTTTTTGTTTTAAATTATTAGGTCTATTTAAAAAACTCACAGAATACCTACTTGCCAGACCTCCTTCAGACCTAGAGTTTCATTCATTATTAGGGAGGAGTTGGGGAATTTAAGCGTGCTGGAACAGACAACACAACCAAAAATCAACTTTTTGGAACACCGCTCCTTGGCTAGATGTGCAAAGACATTTGCCTCCTCCCTCTCCAGTTCTTGGGTCCTGTGTTCCTTATACCATGACACACCCACCCACACATCCCACCCTGCCCCCCAAAGCGCAGGCCATCCGCTGGAATCATTCTTTCCATACCTGCCTCTGAGATCCTACCCTTCCTTTCTCAGACTCCAGCATATAGCTTAGGAACCTGCTTTCCTGCCACCATTTGCTATCTTCCTCCAAGTTCTAATATACTCTGATTGCCTGTGACTTCCCCTTAACCGCCTTACTAACCACCAAGAAGACCTCTTCACCATTACTCATGTACTACTCGTTTCACAGGGTTCCTGTAAGGATCAATGTCGGTGCCTGGTACGTAGTAGGCAGTCAAAAAAAAAAAAAAAAAAAAGAGAGAGAAAACTATGGTCATTATTTTATTTCTTGTTTCCTTGAACCTTCCAACACACCCACCATGTCAATCATTTGTTTTACTCCTTCCCAGGCTAGAGAGAAAGTCCACAGTGAATGAACGACCAGACGTAAAATAAACACAGATTATTCTAGTCAATCGTTTCTTCATCTAACTTCCAAATATCTTAATCTTTCTGTTCTTCCACTCTCTAGCATAGTGATACTCAACTCTGGCTGCATGTCAGAATTCTCTAGGTAGCTTTTAAAACGCACCTAAGCCTCCCCCCATTCCATCTCCAAGAGATTCTGATTTAAAAGATCTGGAGAAGGTTATTATGTCGTAAAAACTTCCCAGGAACATGAGAGGCGCAGCTAGTTCAGAACCAAGTTCTTTTTTTTTTTTTTTTTTAATTTTTATTTATTTATGATAGTCACAGAGAGAGAGAGAGGCAGAGACACAAGGCAGAGGGAGAAGCAGGCTCCATGCACCGGGAGCCCGACGTGGGATTCGATCCCGGGTCTCCAGGATCGCGCCCTGGGCCAAAGGCAGGCGCTAAACCGCTGCGCCACCCAGGGATCCCTGCGCCACCCAGGGATCCCCAGAACCAAGTTCTTACCCACGCTACCCATACTCTGAAAATTCCTGCCTTCTCGGACCTCAGCGCTACAATGGACACACCATTCTCTGCTCCATCTCAAATTTCTTTTGATAACCCTCGTTTCCTTTCACTTCTTAGAAGAGGACTCTCCTGCCTCTACTCCAAAAGCTACCCCCCTAGAAGTCATACTTTATTCCCAAATCTCTAACCTCTTTCACGCTGTCACCATTCACCTCAATATCCCCTCCCCAAAATCCTTACACCATCACACCTTTCTCGGATTTCCAGACTTCGAAGGGGGACAAGGACCTCATCTGCTTCATCTCTGCATACTAAGCACACTGACCAGCTCGATGCAAGAAAAGGCCGTTTACTAGTGATTCACCCCGTTCATTACTTTCACCCTTGGCAAACTAGGCTCAACCCTAACAGACGCGCCGGCCTGGGTGCCTGTGCTCAGTCGGCGTTCAGCTCTGCTGTGCATCACTCGCAGACCCAGGAAGGCCGGTCCTTATCTTTGTTTCCCCACGTGCCTAGTGTGGTGCCCGACACAGAGATGGGTCATTAGACATCTGCCAGCCGGAGTAGAGAAAGTATGAACTGAGAGAGACAGAATGGACGGCCAGTCTACCCATCAGGAAGCCACGGCTATTTCCAGAAGGAAGGGTACGGAAAAAAGAAAATATGGAGGCCGGCATCTCTAGCTCCCAGAAAGGACTTCCCTAGCAGACTGCTCCTTAAAACACCGAGGGCGGCGGGGGGGGGGGGGGGGGGGGCGGGAATCCACCAAGTTACCTTGGGCAAAGGCACGGAAAGTGGATGCGGGAAGCCTCGTTAATCCTGGGATAAAATCTCAGTGGCACGGAAACACGTTAGGATGGCGCCTCAACCTCGGGGCTGGGGCTGGGCTGGGGCGAAGCCGACCCCCGGCTGAGGGAACCCACGCAAACCCCTTCCCCGCCTCGACTCCGCAGCGGCCCGGGGAGACGCCGGACATCCGCGCCGCTGTAGGCTGGCGGGGACGGGGGACGCGGGGACGCGGGGACGGGGGACGCGGGGACGCGGGGACGGGGGACGCGGGGACGCGGGGACGCGGGGACGCGGGGACGCGGGGACGGGGGACGCGGGGACGCGGGACGCGGGGACGCGGGGACGCGGGGACGCGGCCGCCGACCACCTCGCGCGCGCGCGCCTCAGCGGGAGCCAGGAGCTCCGGGCTCCGGGCCAGGACGCGGCGGCCCGGCCGCAGTCGCGAGAGCGCGGGAGGGAGAGACGAAGAGCGGCGGAGAAGCACGCGGAGGCAGACCCGAGGGCCCGAGACCGCCGTCTCCGCCGCACCGCGCGGGCCCCGGAAGAGGCGGTCACGTGACACCGACCTGCCGGTCCAGCCGCTGCTTCAGATGCACGCCGGCCACGGTGGCCGCCGTCAGCACCACCGAGAGGCCCAGCACCGCCTTCGAGCTCCTCGACATCCCCGCGCCCGCCGCTGCGGCCTCCTCCTCCCCGCCAGGGGCCCGGGGCCGTGGCCGAGCTAGTCTCCGCGGGTGCGGGTCAGGCTCGACCGCTCGAGCGCAGAGCCCCGGCCGCCCGGTGCGCCGCCGACGTGCCAGGCGCGAGCAATCGAGAGCCGAGCGGCGCCTGCTCCGCGGAAAGCGGGCCCGCGGGTGCGGCCCTGGGACGCGACGGAGAGCCGCTTCCCCTCCCCCCGGCCTCCCCCCCCTCCCCCCCCCCCCCCCCCCGGCGCGCGCTGACCCGCCTCCTCGGAGCGCGACGCCGACCCGCCGGGGCCTTCGCTCCGCAGCAGCCTCGTTGCCCCTTTGGCGGGGCCGGTGCCCCCGGAGGATGTAGTTTTTGCTTGAAGATTCATAATAAGACTGATAAGGGAAGGGAGAATAAATGTGTGGGAGATATCAGAAAGGGAGACAGAACATAAAGACTTCTAACTCTGGGAAATGAACTAGGGGTGGTGGAAGGGGAGGAGGGCGGGGGGTGGGGGTGAATGGGTGACGGGCACGGAGGGGGACACTTGACGGGATGAGCACTGGGTGTTATTCTGTATGTTGGTAAATTGAACACCAATAAAAATTAATTTATAAAAAAAAAAAAAAAAAAAAAAAAAAAAAAAAAAGACTGATTCCCTCCTGGTGCCGTGGGCTGGCTGATGAGTCTCTGGTCTTCCTTGAAACCTTCCTTAAGAGCCTTCTGGCTAAAGAGCTTAGGAACCGGCCACGACGCCTCTGCCTCTCGCCATCTTCGGGAGGTCACCGGGACAGCTTGGGTGCCTCAGCCCCTGCGCCAGCGAGACGGGCTTCCTGATTCCCACGTTTCTAGGAAAATGAATGAAGGGATGAACGATAGGATGCGTCATTTTCACTTTTCCTTGTGGTGGGAAGAAGTGTGGCTTTCCAGAAACTGTAAAGTATCTGGCAGAGCAGGCAATGAAGTACCGGAGTTAGTGGGATATTCCCACTGGGATTCACACGCAGCAAGCTGCTTCCTGTGGAAACAGCCGTGGACAGTGTGAGGGCCGCGTCTTGCTCAGCATCACCCAGGGGCTTCTCTGTCGTTCATTTCTGTGGGGCTTTGCTATTCCAGCTTCTGTTATTTCAACGTAAATGGCACGAGGGGATTATCACTTTTAAGAACTGTAATGAAACAAAAAATGTAAATACTCTTTTCGAATCACATTTTGTCCATGTCATTTTTCTCAGCCAGAGAAAGATGTACCATTGAATTGGAAACCTGGGTTCCTGCCTTAATAGACTATGGAATTGGAAGCACTTTAATTCAAGTATATTTGTATACTTTCCAAATAGAAAACAAAAACAAAACAAACTACATCAGACTGCTCTTTACTTGTGATGGACCCCAGATATTTTTCTCTGTAAGCCAGTGAGCCTTCAGCAGACCTACATGGCCTTAGAATTTGTCAGAATTAGATGGCCTTCCGTTCTACCGTGACTAATTTTTCTATTTGTCTTCTTGAAGTGTAGTTTTATTCTACTTTTAAGAATCACTTATATGTTAACAGTGTCAAAACGTGGATTATCTGTTTGATTATTTATGAACCTCAGCAGGATATTTTGTGTGATCATTGTCACATAAATGACTGGAATGTGAGAAAATGACTGCAGACTCCTATATCCAAAAATCACAACAAAAAAAAAAGACAGGAAAAGTAGGCAAGTAGCAGTAGTTATGGACTACATGTTTGTGCCCCCTGCTGAAACTCTTAGGTTGAAATCCTAACCCCCTAGTGGGGTGGTATAGGAGATGGGGCTTTTGGGAGGTAGTTAGGTTTAGATAAGGTCATAAAGGTAGAGCCCGCAGAATGGATTAATGCCCTTATAAGAAGAGCAAGAGACTAGAGCTTGCTCTCCACCATATGAAGACATAGCGAGATGGCCATCTGTAAACCAGGAAGGGCCCTCCCTGGAACCCACCCAGGCTGGCACCCTGATCTCAGACTTCCCAGCCTCCATAATGACAATTTTCTGTTGTTTAAGCTATGCAGTCTTCGGTATTTTTGTTACAGCAACCCAAGCTAAAACAGCAATGAACTGTTCCCCAAAGTCAAGTATGGGTGTGGAATCCTGCTCCAGAGTCAGTATCATCTAACATACAAGATTCAAGACCCAGTTTTCAGTCAGAACCTTCTAGCAACTCTCCTCCAGGAGCCAGGTACTTAGTGGTCTTGAATTCCTTGCTTTCTTTTTCTCAGTGGTAAACTAGATGGAAGAGTCCTGCTTAACCATCAGAGAGTCTCAGCAAGAGGTGCTCCCGAAATAATCACAGAGGTAAGGAGGGGCAGAGCTCCTACAACAAGTGAGAGGGCATAAAATTGAGACCCACGGACCCACTGGGAGGGTTAAAGAAAATCACTTCGTGATGTTGAAGGACACTTGGGACATCAACGTGCTGTGTGCATTTCAAAGCTGTTTATCCCTTTCTCAGCATCTCCATTCCCCCCATTCTACTCTCTCTTCTGTGACTTTGACTTTTGTAGGTTCCACATAGAAGTGAGATCATATGGTATTTGTCCTTCTGTGTCTGGCTTATTTCACTTAGCATAATACCCTCCAGTTTCATACATGTTGTTGAAAATGGATTCCGCCCCCCAGAAAAAGAAAAGAAAAAAAAGAAAATGGATTTCCCTCTTTTTCATGGCAGAATAATATTCCTGTGTGTGTGTGTGTGTGTGTGTGTGAGAGAGAGAGAGAGAGAGAGAGAATGACATACTCCTTATCCATTCATCTGTCAGTGGTCACAGTGTTAACATATCTTGGCTATTTTGAGTAATGTTGCAACTAACGTGGAAGTACAGATAGCTCCTCAAAATCCTGATTTTATTTCCTTTGGATGTATACCCCAGAAGTGCAACTGCTGAATCAAATGGTAGTTCTATTTTTAATTTCTCGAGGAATCTGCATACTGTTTTTCATAATGGCTGTACCACTTTATATTCCTACCAACAGTGTGCAAGGGTTCCCTTTACTCCACATCCTCACCATTGCCAATACTTGTTACTTCTTGTCTTTTTGATGACAGCCACTCTAACAGGTGTGAGGCGATACCTCTTTGTGGTTATAATTTGTGTTTTCCTGCACAATTAGTGATGTCGAGAACCTTTTCATCTACCTATTGGCCGTTTCAGTTATAAGACAAATGAGTTCTAGGGACCTTAAAGTACAGCATGTTGACTATAGTGAATAACACTGTGTTGTATACTTGAAATTTCCTTAGAGAATAGTTCTTAAGTGTTCTCACCACACACCAAAAAGATAACCATGTGAAGTCATGGGTGTATTAAAGAGCTTGATTAAAAAAAAGAGAGAGAGAGAGAGAGAGAGCTTGATTGCAGTAATTGTTTCATAATGTATAGGTATAGCAAATCATCACATTGTACACTGTAAATACAAACTATTTTTATTTGTGAATTATGCCTCAATAAAGTTAGGAAGAAAATAAATTGTAGGAAAATTTTTGAATTTAAAATTTTAAAGTACCAAGGTGAAAAAATATATTATGTATACATGAAAAGAAAAGAAGTATTGATACATGCTGCAACATAGATGAACTTTGAAGCGTTGAAAACAGTATGCAAAGTAAAATAAACATAAAAGACCAGATATTGCATGATTCCATTTATAGGAAAGTGTCCAAATCTGTAGACATAAAGCAGATTACTGTTTGCCAAAGGCTGGGGGATTTGGGAGATAGAGAGTGACTGCACATGAGTTTCCTATTGGGGATAATAATTATGTTCTAGAATTCGATCATGATGATGGGTGCACAACTCTGACTGTACTAAAACCCCTGAATTGGGCACCTTAAAAGAGTAAATTTAATGGCACATTAATTATTTCACTGAAGCCGTTCAAGTAAGTGAAAAAAGCTGTTTATAAGTATCAACTCATTTCATCTTCACAACAACTCTACAAAATAGGTGCTGTTTTCGTTCCTGTTTTACAGATGAGGAAACTGAGGCACAGAGCGGTACATAAAGCACCCAGAATCCACAGCCAGAAAGTTACAGAGCAACCTAATTGGTTTTTAATTTTATTTTCGAAGACATAAAAGATTAAATGTGCCTGGTTTAAAGTTTAAAACAGAGAACATATATCTTCTGTCAATAGATACAAGGAGAACACGTGTGTCTAGAATCTTCCAGCCCTGTATTTTAGCTATTTAAAAAATAGGAGGAGAGAGCTAGGCTGGAGAGGGGGGAGAGGAAAGAGAGAGGAAGACAGAACTAGGCACCTGATGGGAGAGGGGGCAGAGAGAGAGAACGGAAGAGAACAGGAAAACTGACAGGAACTCTCCGTGGTTCTGGGACAATAGCATTCGCCTCCCTGGGATGTTCACTGGAAAGTGGACTTCTGAGAAATGTGCCCCATTCATGTAGCCCCTTGGAGTTCTGTTTTTGGGTCTTCTACTCCTCCCTTTGATAAGAGATCCTTGCAGCATCCAACAGAATATTGTTCTCAGAAGATGGACACTGTGAGCACGGCTCTGCAGGAATAAACGGTGGGGGGTGGGGGTGGGAAGCAAGGATTCTGGCTTCACTCAGGGGACAATCCTTTACCTTTGGGACCTCAGTTTCCTCCTCTGTACTGTGGTGACAATGATATGTCTGCTACCTCCATGGCTTTCTGACCGAGACAATGAATTAGTATCATGGCTGCACCAAAGCCAGGCATGTGGCCATAATGCAAGTTGGGGCATTCCTGCCAGGGAGCCTGAAGATGGAACCCCTCGGCCCTGGGGGGAGGGGGCGGGCTCCTGTCACTACTACTGCCGAGAGTGGCCCCGAATCCTGCCTCATATATTTGGGCAATATCTCTTTGTTTGTAGCTGAGTGGGCCTTTCGGTGACATCTTAGCTGGGGTGGCAGCGAGGACTCCCACCCAGCTTGCCCAAACTATGCATTAGTTTCATCATTTCCAAATACTTGGTGTGACTGAGTTCCTTTGGATTCAAAATCCAGTCCCATTATCAGAAAAAAAAAAAATGTCAACATTACCATTGTTAATGGAAGAAAAGAGCTATTAGAGCCTTTAAATATAATTTCAACTGCTGTAAATTTGTAAATCGTTGTTAAAAAAAATAATGACTTTAACTGACATTACCACATGTTGGCAAAGACCTGGAACGGCTAGAACGCTCTGTACTCCTGTGGGTTGGAAGCA